GTGGCCGCGTGGTTTGTACGCCGGGTTTCATGGTGTCGCCAACTCGAGAGGTCCCGGGTTCGAATCCTGGTGGGGGCAGGTGTTTGTGTGATGAATACGAGCATTTGTACTCCAGTCATGGATGTTTAATATGTGTATCTATATAAATATACTTATAGTATATGTACTGTATATGTATTCTATCCGTTACCCTAGCATCCCATAACACAAGCCTTACAGTGCTTACTTTGGGGCTAGGCTAATTGGTGTGAGTGTTGGAAATATTTATTTATTTATTATTGTGTTCCGCCTTGACCGTATTTTCGTGGTTAGTGAGAGTGCCCACAGGCAGTGTAGCCAACAAGCAGGAAGTCACCAAGTACTAAAAGGCCTCTTAATGTTGGCTTTGGCTCCATGAAAGCCTCAAAGGAACGGGTCCCCATGGACCTGTGGCTGAAAAACGTACAAACAATAATAATAAAACCTTTTATTTGCCTCTCCACAATTTTTATACATGACAGAGCTTAAAAAAAGCTTAAAAATTAAATTCACCCAAAAGAGTTTATTGAATTTATTTTTGAAGTTATACTTCTTTAGCCGCGTTATGAAAAAAATATGAGAGTGAAATTTTAAGATGCGCGCGCATCACTGTAACACAAAAGTAACATAATGAAGTTAGCCGCGGGCGCGTTATGAAAAAATGATGAGAGTGAAATTTTAAGATGCGCGCGCATCACTGTAACACAATAGTAACACCATGAAGTTGGCCGCGGGCACGTTATGAATGTTAGTGTCTAATAATGGTGGATTATTAACCACTTAGTGGATTATTATGTTATTAGACATCTGTTCGAAAGGTACTTTGAACGATCCACGGAGCTCCATAAGATGATCGCGTTGTCAAAAACAAGGTTGGCACGCTCGTCGCCTCTGATCACTGTTTTCATATTTATAATATTTATCCCTATGTTTCTAGTTTCTATATAGACACAACGTGTTTTAGTTACTTACAAGTGCTAATTACATATGGACTAATAACTTAAATTCAGTAGTGATTTTAATTGAATATTTTGAATATTTATTTAATTTTTCAAATTAAAACTGAACTTAATTGACTGTGTTAACTATCCTTTTCCAGTCCTTTTATTATTTTATTGTAATTATTAATTATTTGCATGCAATTAAAAAATATTTTTAATGATGCTAAAGAAGTATAACTTCTCACGCGCGTACATAAGTTACACGCATCCATTTTTTTATGAATTACGTGTTAATTTAATATTAATACGCATATTCCGAAAGCAATTTCTAACTAAAATAGGTAATAGGTATGTTTTTCGTTCTTAAATATGTCAGAATTTTATATTTGCGCAAGTCGTGACCACTCATTTAGTGTACAACGCTTGAATATCTAGAGTAGTTAATTCACGTAGACGTAATCTTATTTCTGAGAAACTTTCAATTTTATCTTGATCGTCACGTTTTCATCGAACATACAAACAAACATAAAGGTATATTTAATTACTTATTATTAAATTGTCTCGTGATAACATTTATTATTATAACATCTAAGCAACAAACCTAATTATTAAAATTTTATCTCAAATACAAAACTTTAGTAAACATCCATCGTAGCAGTTTGAATAGGCAATTAGGTATATTTTTTTTATAGATTTTCCTTATTGTTTTCTCTATTTCAAAAGAATTTTTACTCAATATGTGACCGAATTAGCAAACTGAAGTGGCAGTGTGCTGGTCACATTAGCCGCAGAACTGAACGCTGTTGGAGCCGGAAAGTTCTTGAGTGGAGACCACGACTCGGTAAACGTAATGTAGGACGCCCTGAGACAAGATGGGATGATGATATTCGTAGGCTGACTGGTGTGGGCTGGATGAGAGTAGCACAAAATCAGGAGCAGTGGCGTGCAGAAGGAAGACCTATGTCCAGCAGTGGACAAAAATGGGTTCATGATGATGATCTAACAAAAGGGTTTAAATGGTAGCTACATTAATTAGGTACATAATTAATTATTCACTTTAAATGAGACAGAATATGGTTTTGAAAATTTTAACAATTTCTTGTCTAGAACATTTGAATCTGGTTATAGATGGCAACATTAGGCAGCAACAAATAACTGACAACTCGTAGAACCGTTCCCAATATAGCGCGATTAAACTTGATTGTTAGCCCGAATACTAGTGCCAATGAAATAAGGTTAAACGATTAAATGTAAATGAGCAGAGTGGGGTACGCCTATATGCGGGTAGTTTTAGTTTTGGTTACCCGACACAGTCTTCCAGCCCGTATTCCAGTGTAAATATTGCTTTTGGTGCCCGAATTCCAGTAATGGAATTCGGGCACCCGAATACGTGCTAACGACCAAGTGTATTTGAGCTATTACGTGAAAAAGAGCTAGAATAAAGAAGAATCGCGCTTGTTGAAAATATACTTACGTTTTTTCTACACTTTACAGGCAGCAGGTTTTACTGGCTAATGTTTATGCTCAAGATGTTTGCTGGGGTGTATACTGTCGTGTTGCTTTGTTACCATATACAGGATGTGACAAAAGTCCGAAATAAAACTTTAGGGTTTGGTTGCGTTCCGTGTATAGAATTACCTACGAGAGTTTGACGCCTTTCAGACCACTTTTATTTTCTAATTAAATTATTATAAATATCATTTTACGTCTGCCTATGACAACCCTATAAATGAGTACGATTACTACTACCTAAACAGACCCCCCTCTCTCCCCCAGGCGCCCCTGCGCCCCTCTCAGATACCTACAAATTTTTATTTCGGAATACATACCTACAAATTTTATTTCGGAATTCTGTAACACCCTGTATAGCTATCGATAAGACTTTCTTGGAGCATGAGCGCGGGGGTTCGATTCGGGCGCTCGATAGGTGCCACACTAAAAAGGAGGGTAAAGTGTTAAGGCAACACCTCTCGTCACACTGCCTAAACACTTTCCCCTCATGCATCCAAGGTTCTTTAGCTGACTAGCTTCTTAACGTCGCGATTTTCACTGCTTCTCCTCCTAGCTTCGTCACCGAGAACATGATTTGTGCTGGTCTCGTTGCCGTCGGTAGGAAGGATGCGATCTAGGTATAAATTACTTTCAATAACTTCTTTCACTGCTATCAATAAAACTTTCTTCTTAACGACAACAAAAAAGAATCAAGCCATATTTTTAGTAGAAATAATTCACCATGGGAAAGATGGACGGTACATTACTCCAAAAGTCAAACATTATCAACCTTAAGGACTAATTGAACTAAACTTGTATCTTTTACTGCCAGCTAAAATTATGTGTTAAGAAATGGCTCATTTTTTTTTATCCCAGCGAAGCCGAAATATTTACAGTATCTACAACAGAATTTGTCTAATATCACAACAATTAAATAATTTATTCAATCACCGTCAATTCAATTCTATTTATTTATTTATTCACTCATTCAGACTCTGGTCCATTAGTTGATAAGTTTCGTAATGTTGGTAAGAAAATAAGTCATTCAATTAAAATAAAATATCATTAATCTATTATTAAGCACAAAAAATCACATTAACAAAAATCGGCTTGGCTATCTGGTCAAAATCACCGTCAGACGGGCTGCTGTAAATTCTACTATGCACATGATTTATCACAGATGTAACTGGATTGCAGCAAAACCAGCAAACATTCCGGTAAATCTGTACTTTCTGGTCCCAGGAGATGAAACTCCGCAAACTTTTGTTGTAAAGATCTCTATTAACGAAGTTTTTTTGTCATAACACCAAATTTACCTAGTGTGTAGTATCAACTGGTGACCCAGAAAGTACAGTTTTACCGACATTCGTGATGCACTACATCATGACGAAAGACCCAAGTAGAGTCATTAATGCATTGTTGACAAACAAAACAATGCCTCTACTTGTGATATGGAACCATTATGGAATATAAAAGTTAATATAGGTGGTACTTTAATGGTAAAACGGGCATTACACGAGTCCCAGGGTGATTCCGATGGTCAGATGTACTATGGTGGAGTTCTCGTCGGCGTGGTGTAATGTGGTGAAGGATGCGCCAACGGAACCTTCCCAGGAGTCAGTATCGCCGTTGCGTCCTACGTCGACTGGATTGTAAATAAGGCTTCTTGAAACTGAACCTTATTTCATTTTGAATAATAGCTAAGATTTTACTCCGCGTCTGTCTTTTTAATTATTTTTTCTTTATACCTACACTTGATAAACAAAAATATATCGGCATCCAACATCCGAAAAACCAAACTCATAGACTGTATCGTTTTAAAGACACATCAACTCATTATACGTACGGTAATAATATAGGAAAATTAACAAAGGACGTGTCTGTCACAGCAATGTTGCCTGAGCATTAGTAATCTGCGCTTGGGTCTGCAAATATTTAGTGTTATGAACAAACAGTTCCTTTGAAATGAGGTTGATGTCCTGTCATTGGGACGTGCATGCTACTTGTACCATTCATTTTATTCATAAGGTGTTCGTTTTAACACTCGAGAATGGCGTTAAGTAAGTTAGAGATAATTATTTTACACTCAGACATAACCTTTACTTGACGATTGTGACGGTAATTATTTTACCAGAATGTTACGCCCGTTCACGGGGCATTGCACTGCACAATTTCATGGTAAAAAAGACTAATTTTTAAAATACAAAATGATTCCAGCGTAGAATGAGATTTTCATCTGCTGCAATCAGATATTTGTTTTCATTTCTTTATTGACAAAAAAATATTTCATCTTTTGGAGTCTGTACTATGGAAACCTATTAAAATACGGAGGTATGAGTTATTACATTGTTGTTCTCCCTATTTTTTTTATATAGATTACAAGTTCATTGAATTTTTTGCGGTTACAAGTTCTACATCGAATGTTTGATTTCGGTTTAAATAGAAATCACATCTTATAATTGCGCGTAAAAACAGCTTCATAAATCACACTGTCAGAGTCTTATTTGACAAAGCTAGACTTGTACACACTAGATAAGATAACGGTACGACATCTGCACTGCCTTCAGTCCCGTTTTAGTAATGGATAATTTCGGTTACCGCGAAATGGGTTGGCCGACGCCCCTCCAAACGCCTACTAGACCTCGTCCTACGAGAAGTTTTAGTACCAGAGCCAGGGAACCAGAAGAATTTCCCTTAAATACAACATACAAACATGTGCGTAACATTGACTTAATTGAAAGTTCTCGAGAACCAGGAAAAGCCAAAGACTATATTTTCGTGGGCCCATCCCCACCGGCTGAAGACGCTCCTAATTTATATCACAGCTTCGATGTCTTAGCACCAGATCCTGAGGCAAGATTGACCGAAGAATCAGTGAGGAAGTGTTTGTGTGAACGTGCGCTTACTTTAGGCGCTGGCAGATTTTTTGATGACGTTGAATGTGGATTGATAGTATCCGAAAATATCATCGAACATATAAGCTCGGCGCCAGAAGTAGTTGTGAACCTGACACTTTTGTGGTCTGCATTTTTGGCTCGTGATGAATTACTTCCATACATTTTGGAAGCTGGTGCCGATATACATTATTCAGAACCTGCTGGCTTGACAGCATTGCATTTAGCAGCCTTTAGTGGTGCCTCCAGAGCAGCTGCGTTTTTGATATCCCGGGGAGCAGATGTGGATTTTGCACCTAAATATTTTACTCCCCTTCATTGTAGTGCTTTTGGGAATTCCTTAGAGGTCGCGGAAATACTAATAGCGAATGATGCTTCTTTACATACTGTGGTTCAAAGAGCCGGATGTGAAGATAATCTCGTTCACTGTGCTGTGAGAGCTGATGCTGTGGAATGCATGGAATTGTTTATAGAAAGAGGTGTTGATCCAGGCTATGTAACATCTGGTGGATTGAATGCTTTGCATCTTGCTGCAGAACTAGGCGCACAACGCTGTTTATCATATTTATTAAAACAAACTAAGATAAGTGTAAATGGTGCTACAAAACAGAGAGATAAAGAGAGTACGGCTTTACATTTGGCAGCTGCAAGAGGATATGCAGAATGTGTCGAACTTTTGATAGCGCAGGGAGCAAAGACAAATACAAAAAACCACAGAGGATTTACTCCTCTTCACCTTGCAGCCAGATGTGCAAGTGTAGAATGTGTTGAAATAATTTTAAGGGATGGCAATGCAGACGCCAATGTTGAAGATTTGGATAAAAGAACGCCACTGCATGCTGCTATTAATAGATCAGAACGTGCTTGTGATATTATTGATATGCTGGTCAGTTGGGGAGCTCAGGTGAACAAAAAAGACGCTTATGGATATTCGCCTTTACACATTGCTGCGATGGATGGTCTAACCCAGTGTGTTGAGACTCTTATTTTTCTGGGTGCTGATGTAACATCAAAATCAAAGAAAGGACATACAGCTCTCAGCGTTATTAATAGAAAAACACCTAAATCGTTAGCTATTTTACGCCATAATTTGGATAGTGGAATAAGTCTCAGTCGCTCCACCGAAGGAAACGAAGAAGTTCAAATTGAATTTGACTTTGGAAAGTTGCTAAAGTTTTCATATCCTCGCGAAATAACATACCTCAACAGTTTGATTGACGAAGGTCAGAAAGACATACTGTTACATCCATTGTGTTCTGCGTTCTTGTTCATGAAGTGGCGTAAGATAAGAAAATTTTATTTGGCACGATTAGTTTTTTGTTTTCTGTTTGTATCATTTTTGTCAATTTACGTACTAACTGCTGTAGCGAAAACTTGTACTGGGAAGTATTCCAAGAAGTACGGAGTTCCTAATGAACTTTGTCAGAAACAGTCACTCTTAGGTCTGTTGTTAAAGAAGAATCCAATAGAATTTGAAAGATGGGTGCTGATAGGTATAACTGCATTTGAAATAGTGCGAAAACTTACTGGCATTACTGGCTATTCCAGTATTACTCAATATTTTACGACTTTCGAAAATTTGATGGAATGGTTTGTACTACTTTCTGTATTCTCACTTTATAATATTGAAAAAGATTACAGTTGGCAGAATCATATTGGAGGTTATGCGGTTTTAGGAGCTTGGACTAACTTGATGCTTATGATGGGTCAACTACCAATGTTTGGCGATTATGTAGCAATGTATCAAAAGGTCTTAACAGAATTTTTAAAATTACTGTTGGCTTACATTTGTCTCTTGTTAGGTTTCGCTATCTGCTTTTGCGTTGTTTTTCCGAATGAAGAGATGTTTTCTAATCCTTTAATGGGTTTCATCAGTACATTATCAATGATGGTAGGGGAATTGAATTTGAATATTCTCATAAATGATCCATTGGCTGACGAAGATCCACCACTAGTGTTTGAATTGTCTTCACAGATAATATTTATATTGTTTCTTATGTTTGTCACAATAATTTTGATGAATTTGCTGGTTGGCATTGCCGTTCACGATATTCAGGGTTTGAGAAAAACTGCCGGTTTGTCTAAGCTAGTAAGACAAACCAAACTTATCTTGTTTGTTGAAATGGGAATGTTTAGTGCATTATTGCCCAAATGCTTACACAAATATGTTTACAGAACAGCCTTGGTATCACCTGAAGCTGGGAAGGTAATCTTAAGTGTAAAACCATTGAACCCAAGAGAAAAAAGATTACCTACTGATATAATGATGGCAGCTTATGAATTAGCACAACTAAATAAAGTCAAATATGGTAGGTCAGTAAAAGAGATGTTATATAAAAATAAGTTTTCATCAAAGCTGAATGAAACGCAGCCAAGCGACAATCATAACTTCAACATAGAAATAAGAGGTATGCAGGAGAAGATCGATCAGACCACTTTTAATTTGAAGAAAATAGACCAAGAGTTGAGACATTTAAATACGCTGTTGACTGGGCAGCAGATTATGCTGCAAAGTTTGGTAAAATGTACTGAGTTAGTGCCTTATAGCAGAGGTCAATATGTTACTTCGCCAACGTCTCATAGTGAAATCTCTCCATTTTTCTATCAAAGCAACAGTGACGTGAAGTAGAATTTTAATTCAGATTAGGAATCAGGGTATATATTTATGCAAGAGTATCTCATTGCAAACTGTTGTTTGTTATCAATCTGGGACTCAAATGCGATGCAAGTATGAAGAATAATATTTGTATGATCTGTTAGTCATTTTACATTTCCAAGTAATGCTAAGTTAATTTTAATTACATCTTTTACTGTTATTTTCACAAATTTTTTTCTCTATTTATTACAAGTTCTGGTTAAAGTCTGTATAGTATGCAGTAGTTAGTCATTTTGTTTGTCTTTTTTTATGATCTATTTGAGTTCAATTGTGTTATGCGGTATTTGCTTTTGTTTTATCAAAAAATCTTATCAAACAGTTTCCTATATAATTGTCGAGTATTACGGTACTTGTGTATTTAAATGATAAGACATATACTTTTATAAGAACGCTGTGGTTCACGATCAAGGTTGATGATTATGACAAAATAACGTTTTGAAATAAAATATTTAAGATTTTAATTTTGTTTCATTGACAATAGGTGTCCGAATTTATCCTGGTTGAGTGCAAAGTTCTTGCGGAGTTATTGTCTACGCTACACTATCACTCACGCATGTCTACCCTGACATCGAGGTCAGAACATCAAACTGAAAAATCGACCTATAAATGTCCCGTATTATTTAAAAATTTTCTTATAGCAAATCACAACGATAGTGATTGATTCATAAATGTCATGATATTCGCAAGTTGATATCGGAACGAGATTATAATGGTAGGTATGCATAATTTCAGCACCGCACAGATATTGCAAACCTCAGAAATATTGCAAATGAGTATTAAGGAGTAGATAAAGCACTTAATAATTTAAAAATAATATTGAATTAAATTAATATGAAATTACTAGATAATGATGATGATGAAAGTACTACGTACTTATACATACTTATTAGGAATAAATTAATTATAGAAAAATGTGTGCTACTTTGTTTCTGGTTCAAAAACTTAAATAATACCATAGATCAATGATTGGTCAAATCATTTATCTATGAATAATACCTACATTTTTTCAATTAAGGACTGCGAATAATTCGCAGGAACACAGTACTGAAGAAAAGTGTTATTTGCTTGCTATTTTTTGTATGAAGGTTGAGTGCTCTATAGTTTTAATGTTAAATTGGGTAGTGGATGTTTATTATTAAATCAATTTCGGTGTTATTAGGAGGCTACAAACATAAAAAAAAATTGAAACGTCTAAGTTAGCCTGGATGATAAATTGAGGTAATGCGTAATATATGTGTTTCGGAGTTAAAGTGTTTCCAGGCGTTGTAAGCACAACGTCAACAAAATATATTATTTACTTCTGTGAACCGATGAAAGTAGAAAAAAGGTTTTTATTATAATTTATTTACTAGTACGTCGTACTAAAATGTAAATTCATTTAATTATTAAAGCGAATAAATATGTTTCGGGGTAAAACTTATTCCAGGCTCAACAAGCCCAAAATTAACAAAATGCAGGGCACATTTTTCTATAATTAATTTATTCGTAAGTCGTACTGTAATGTTAATTTATTCAATTCAATATTTTATCGTTCTTATTACGTGTGGACCTTTGTATTTTACTTCTTAATCATTTGCAACAATCATTACTCTGTGATTTTCAATATCTATACCTTGCTAAAATTATGCATACCTAACATTATACTCTTCTTCTGATAAGAACTTGCGAATATCATAAAATTTATCAATTAATCACAACTTTTCGCTTCCCGGTACAGTCCACTGTAAAATTGAGCCGTTGTTACACGTATCAATTTTTGTTTCAGAGCTACCTTTTGGTGATATTGTGTTTCCATAGTTGAATAAAGTTAACAGGTACCACCAGTTTTAATATCGTTGTATCACGAAGTAGGCAATGGGGTCAGAGGTGGGGTTTCCGCTCAAGAATTCTCGAACTCGAGAAGACTCGAGAACTCCGCCTTAGTTCGAGACGAGAACAATCCCGTGTCTCGAGTATTCTCGAGGTACTAATTCAAAGTATTCGAGATAGGCTTTTCCTCGTAAAATTTTCCGCGCTTGTTCAAGTTCATATAGCTCTTTTATAAGAAGCAAGATGGCGCTGTAGCAATTGTTACTCGCACTATGGTTTAAGTTCCGAAGTTTCACATAATAACAACTTTAGTTCGTTATTTGGTTAATAGATGTCACGTTAAGTCCTTGTAATCGCGGTATAGATGCTGCAGTGCTTTTCTATAAGTAGTTTCCTATATGGATAGATATAAGATCAAGGATTCAGTACCAGTTCAAGATTCTGTTTGATTTGTTATGGTTTTTAAAATACATTAGTTCAAGTAAAAAAAAAAAAAAAAAAAAAAAAAAAAAATTGTTTAGGACCAAGGGTCAGCAAAAGTACTCGGCGAATTGGGATTCCTTGAAATGATAGAACTTCGTACTTGAACTAATGTATTTTAAAAACCATAACAAATCAAACAGAATCTTGAACTGGTACTGAATCCTTGATCTTATATCTATCCATATAGGAAACTACTTATAGAAAAGCACTGCAGCATCTATACCGCGATTACAAGGACTTAACGTGACATCTATTAACCAAATAACGAACTAAAGTTGTTATTATGTGAAACTTCGGAACTTAAACCATAGTGCGAGTAACAATTGCTACAGCGCCATCTTGCTTCTTATAAAAGAGCTATATGAACTTGAACATACCGCCCCCCAAAGACGATATTGAAGAAATCGTCCTTTCAAAAATGGTTGAACTTGACATAAATAAATTTAAAACGAACTGAACTGAAAAAACTTAACATTACATAACTTCATTAAAAAATAAAATTTGCTGTTAAACATTTATACACTGATAAACTATTAACAAATAAATAACAAAATAAAACAGTTGAACACAATTATACTAGTTTTCATTAATTGGCAAAACACATAATTTTGAAGTAGGGCGTTTTAACAATGAACCCCTAACTCTCAATGTGACCACTCGAGTTATATTGTCTGACCCAGGATGTTTCTGAACAACTCGACCTATCAACCAGCGACTCGGAGGTAAGTCGTTCTCTTTTATCAAGACAACATCTCCTATTTGTGGTTCTGGAATTTGATAAGACCATTTATACCTATGTAAAAGCGTTGTTAGATACTCTTGAGACCAACGACGCCAGAAATTTTGCAACATCTTTTGTACAAGTTGCCATCTATGCAAAGGACTAACATAGGCGTCCTCAAAGTTACAATCAGGTGCAGCAATCAATGGTTCACCCACCAAAAAATGACCGGGGGTTAACGGTAAAGGTTCGTCGATCTCGTCAGTATTAATAATTGTCATAGGCCTAGAATTAAGACAAGCTTCGACCTGACAAAGTAATGTGCTCATCTCTTCATATGTCAAGGTTGTCTCGCCTATGACACGCTTAAGGTGAAACTTGGTAGACTTTACTGCCGCCTCCCACAATCCACCGAAGTTCGGCGCATGAGGCGGTATAAAATGCCACTCTGTACCGCTAGCTTCTAAATTTTCAGCTATACTGGCCTGAATAGCAGCCAAATGAGACAGTTCTCGCGCAGCTCCTACAAAATTAGAGCCATTATCGCTCCACATGTGAGCGCAGTGTCCTCGTCTAGAAACAAAACGCCTGAATGCGGCAATGAACGCTTGTGTACTTAAGTCACTTGTGACCTCAAGATGTATGGCACGTGTGGCCATACAAATAAAAACACAAATATAACCCTTATAGGCACGATGCCCTCTACCCTTAGTAGTTCTTAAGTTGATTGGACCCGCATAGTCTACTCCGCTATTGAGAAACGGCCTAGCAGGAGTGCACCGTACTGTGGGAAGTGACCCCATGAACTGACTTTTGAACTTTGCGTTTGCTTTAATACATATCACACATCTCCAATAATCCAGTATCCCGATCTCAAGAAATTCAACATAAGTTGGGGACCCCCATGTAGTGTACGTTCATGGGCGTCTGCTACTATTAACTTAGTAAGATGTGCTTTATGTGGCAAAATTATAGCATGCTTCGTCTGAGACGGGAGAGGTGCTTTATGTAATCTCCCGCCCACTCTTATTAGATCATCATCATCAATATAAGGACAGAGTGATTTCAACTTACTCCCTTTCGAAGTTAGGCAGCCACTCTTCTTGATCTGTAAGTATTCTTCTTTAAATTCTATCTGCTGACAATATCTAATACAACACTTAAGAGCTTCCTTTAATTCTGTCTTTTTCAGGTATTTTGGTACAACCGTATTCTTCTTCCGATGTATAAAACGTCTACAATAAGCTACTACTCTGAGGACTTTCCTAAGTGACGAATATTTTTCCCAAAAAACTTCTTCATTTATAGCTACGTGAGACATGATGGCTTCTTCTAAATGTACTTTATTATTTCTTGGCCTAATATAACATATATTATGTTCTCTAAGAAATTTTGGACCTTGAAACCAAGTTGTATTTTCAATTAACAGTCTAGGCAAAACACCCCTCGATGCACAATCTGCTGGGTTGTCTTTTGATGAAACATGTGACCACTGATCGGCATCAATGGTTGTCAAAATCTCAGAAACACGATTGGCAACGAAAGTTTTCCACCTACTTGGGTGACTGTTGAGCCAATCCAACACCACCATCGAATCAGTCCAAGCGTGAACTCTATTTTTTTGAATTTGCATTGTTTCCATCACTTCTACTAGTAACCGGCTAAGCAGCAAGGCGCCACAAAGTTCTAGTCGTGGTATACTTATTTGTTTTATCGGTGCAACCTTACTCTTTGCTACTAACAATGACACACGAACTTGACCTCCCTTATTTTTTGTTCTCACGTAAATGCAGGCAGCGTACGCCGCCTTTGATGCGTCACAAAACCCGTGGATCTCTACCCAATCATCAACGGCTTCAACACCAAGCCATCGAGGAACACGTACATTGGTAAGTTGTACTAATTGACTTCGGTAAGTAACCCATTCTTCCATTAAATTCGTTGGTACCTCTTCGTCCCAGCCGATACCTGATAACCACAATTTTTGTATAAATATTTTTGCTATCACAATGCTAGGAGCTATCCAACCAAGTGGATCAAATAAGTGTGCAATGTCTGATAAAATCGATCTCTTTGTTTCAGGTCCGGCCTTCGGTTTCAACTGTACTGAATATTTAAACACATCTTCACAACGAGACCAAGCAAGTCCCAATATCTTAGTGGTATCCATTATATCCTTCTCTTCCTTTTGTTCTTCATTGTTATATTCTTCTCTTATCTCCTTGTTCATATTATCCTTTTCACAACCTTTCCTTTCCTGTTCTATATTCACCTCTCTTTCACATTGTTGTATTATATTTAAAAGCTCTATACTATTACTATTCCACTTTTGTAAGACAAATCCTCCTTTTTTAAGTAGATCTCTCATTTCACTATATATTTCTGACCC